ACAGTGACATACAAAATAACTACCGCATGGGGATCTCAGGGAATCCATCACAAGGACAGACAAGTCCAATAAAAAGAGAGCAGGTAGGGCAGGTAAGATCAATGCTACATATCCCTGGCATGTGCTTCTCCCAGAGTGGCCTAGGGCTGCACCACTAACCTTGGAAGTACTATATGAAAATGCAGATCACTAGGCCTCATGCAGGGCTCAGTTAACCAGGCCCTATGATGCAACCTAGGCATCTATAAAATAACTGGTGGTGCCTTAGATTATATTTAGAAACAGCATAAAAGTCATACATTTATAAGCATATCATAACTATTAAAATGTACTACATTTAATATATTTATTATATATACATAATACATTTCAATACTAAAGTAGATAATTATTATCTATAATTATCAAAACATGCTGTATAAAGTTTATAGGCATGTTAGGAGTACTATACATGAATGTACAAACTAAAGCCTAATTGTCATTTTAGCTCTTGTGCTGCCTTTTTGCCCTCAGTGTGCATCTGCTGTGGCGAAGTGACTTCAGTGAACAGTGAACTGTCATGATTGTTCCAAAGCAACATTCACTGACATTTCTGGGAGGAGAGGCAAGCGAAGACCACTCCAGAAGCTGAGTGTACAGCTCTAAATGCGAGGTGGGACTGAGCAGGGCCTAGAGAGACCAGTGGGCCATCACTAGACAGAAAGGGTGGGGAAGGCCCAGAGGGAGAGGCCGGGAACAGAGGTGCATGCACACGTGAGCGCAGAGATGCTCAGAGGCTCTGGGTGACAGGGTGGAAGGACGGTGGGGATTAGAAAGCAAAGAGCCTCAGATGTCAATCTGTACTTTGTGTGCAAATCCAGTGACTCCCTACCACCCTCGAATCACTCTGTTCACTTTGGAGTCCTAATTTTAGATCCTCAGTATGATCAAAGTGTCACGGTGAGAGGGCAGATTACGCCAAGTGATCTCCGAGTTGCTGGGGTTCCTGAGTAGCAGCACACAGCAAGGATGAGGCCCAGACTGCGTCCCTTTCTACGGTTGGACTGAGAATTCAGGGCTGCGGACTGTCAATCTTGCTCCCTGCTGGCAGTTGTGAGTCTGATTCATTCATCTCAGACAAGAGCGTTCCCAGTTCCCCTTTCACAGAGTGCTTAGGAATGTGTGAATGCAAGGCTGTGGCATGTCAGAGGGTTTCAATTCAAAGTCCTCTGCCGCCTGCCAGACCAGCAGTACTGCTAGAACAGATCATCACTATACTTGTTTACCAACTGGCAGAAGCCACTGCCCACAAGGGCAGCTGCCTGGGAGCCTGTGCTGATTCCTCCCCTAAGTTCTGGGTGTGCTCCCATTTCCTCTTGGAAAACAAGAAATGCAGGTGCTTACCAAAGCAAAGGAAGAGCTGCTGTTTAACACGTGAACACAGGCATGACACATGAGATTGAAGACAATCCCTGCCTTCCAACATCGGCTTTCCCTTTGCCTTTGTTTTTTTGTTTAGTTTCTTTTTTGGTTCCTGCTCCAGCAGGAAGCCCTGTTACTGGCCCTCCTCTGCCCTGATTGCACAAACGTGCATATCAATCTCAGTATCCTCTTCACACCTGGGATCGGGTCTAGCTGCCCATCACCATCAGGCTTCCAAATTCGGTTATCTCTCCGAAACATTTAAACGAAAATATAAAACCCAAAAGACAATTCATCCAACAAATGTCTTGCAAATCAGCCTCCTTCCTTTTTGTAGAAATGACTCTCAGGCACATTTTATTGGAAATACTGTAAACAAACAAAGTAAACAAAAAACCTTGCATCCTAAGAAAGAATATTGTTGACATCAAAACACAAAACATGTAACAACTGAAGATAACCACTAAGAATCTCTAGTTTTTTCAAAAGTATGTTTGCTGAGATGTTTAGAGGACAAAAAAACAAAGATTAAAAACAAGATTTTTTTCAAATGATGCGTCTCGTCAACGTGAACAATTTCAGTAAGTTGGAGTTAACTTCTCCTTTTGAACACTTTCACAACCTTGTTCCTCAGGCACTTATTATTCACCTACTGTATGCACAGCTGGGTGCTGGCTATGGAGGGAAAGGTCACTATCCCTGGGACTATGAAATCTAGTTGGATATAAAACAAGCAGGCGTGGTATTTCGGTGACAGTGTCAAACAATGCCTTTTCTACTATCTTTCAGCCAAGTCTTCCCTCCTCTGGGAGCCAGCTCAGTCTGGTCTGTATCACATGATGAGTCTCTGGGGGCAGGCCATCTTTCCCCCAAGTGCCCAATTTCCTGGCCCACATGGCCACTTTTTTGTTGTCCTTCTGCTGGATTTAATCTTTTTTTGGGGGGGTAGGAATAGGCAAAGATTATCATTTCTTCTGCATTGTCCTTTACAACTAGCGTATGGAAAAGACTCAATAGTCAAATGATAAAGCCATCAGATTTCTGAAGCACCATATCTCCTCCTTGATGGCTCAGACAGGAGCAGGGCACCAGGAGGCCTAAGAACATCAGTAGGAATCAATCATAATGTATTTGACTGGTTATAAGTAGGATGAGCAAAAAGGCAAGGGTGAGTAGTTATCTATTTTATCAAGGTCAATCATAGCCTTTTATTGATTCTGAGCTGATTTCTGACAAACAAAAAGGACTTCCATGACCAATCCCAAGTGTCCACAAATTATCCACTGGAGACACAGTGGGAAAGATCTTTTGGAAACCTTTGTTGTTCTCTTCTGAACATTTCAATGAATAAAGCCAGAAATTTCTCTTGTTCACTTTAAACTGCTATTCATTTTGTGTTCTAATGTTAACAGTGTCCTTTCACTAAAGCTACATTAGTATTTCTTTTAAAAAATCAGTATGAAATACCTAAAAGCCACTTCAACATTTGTGAATCCAAGCAAGTCATGGTCATGTCGGTAAGAGTCGTAGTAGTCCTAATATCTGATGGAAATGGATTTTGAAATTTTCCAAGCATCACACATGCAGCTGCTAAAAACCGCCTCTGGGGTGGTAAGTGTCACTTACTCATAGTTTTCAGGATCTGAGCATCAGTGGTTTTACTGAGACATTTGTGTTGGAGCAAAAATTTTAGTTTGTTGAAATGAATAAACCACAACTGTTTTTAGGCTGCAAAATCTTGTCACTGTGATCAGAAGAACTAGCCTTCTGATCTGCATCAGAATATGGAAGGCTCTACATCCTCTGGGTTCTATAAATCTACTGTTTAGCAACATGGTGCTTTTATATGCCTCCATTAACTCCTGGAAAGTGGCCTTGTGGAAACCTGAAACCCTGACTCAGTTGCAGGCACTTTCAGTGCAAGGAATTTTGAATTAAAGTATAATCACTGCAATTCAGAAAGCTTAACATTCAAAACTTTTATTCCTGCAAATTGTCTCAGAATCTTGAGGAAAAGCCTTGGCTTAGTGTGAAGCTTTTTCTTTGTGATCCTGGGTCCATCTTTGTAACTAAGACCCAGTCTCTTGAGTCTCTATCTCATTTTCCCAAACTATCTCTTACAAAAAAGAATAATTGTACTTCTACTTCTTGAGTGTGTTTTGAGAATGAATAACATACAGATGAAGCATCCTGAATTCCAGAAGGCTATTGTTTAAATGCCTCTTGTAGATCAACATTTCTAGGGAAGAGAGCTATGTTGAAGTGCTGCTCTCCTGTGTGGAAGAGCTCTGTTTCACCTACATGGATCACCCCCAGCTCTCACAGGCAGCTGAAAGCACAGCCTGACAAATGACTTCCAGCTTTCCCCTGCAGCTGGGCAATGTTTGACAACTCAGGTGGAGAAGAAATTTTCTTATCATAAACCTAAATCCACATGTAAGACCATGTAAATGTTATTCATTCTGTGCAACATCAGCTGAGCTGTATCCACTGTGTGCCACTACCCTGTGCAAACACATTCAAGCATACAAATCCTGACTGACTTTCTCCCTCTTGGAAATTAACATGAATCTCTCTAGTCCCTGCTCATTATGTATGTCTTCTCAGGCTGTCATGTCTGTCACTCTCTTCTGAATAATTTCTTTTTATTTTTTATTTAGAAAGTAGTAAAATACAACAAAACAAGACAGAACAAAGCCAATTAAAATAATGCAGTGAAATTGGTACAGAACTTCAGGGCAGGATACTGAAGTAGCAGTAATAGGTACCATGGTATATATCTTGTTATTTTCACAATAGATGTCCATTCCATCAAGTATAGCAAAATCAGACCAAAACCAGAACATTATAAAAACCTGTCAAAACAGAATATTGAATAGAATAAGACAATTGATCAGAACAAAGCAAAACAGTGAAAACAATATTTGCCTTCAAAGAGAAGATAGCAGGAAATCCCCCATATTTGCTCTATTGCATATAGTCATGCTCCCAAGAGATGCTCAGACCTCTGGCCTCCGGTCAGCATAATCAACTCTTTTGAATAATTTCTAAGTTTCCTCCCATCTCTCTGTTGTGCAGCCTAAAATGGATGCAGTATTTTCTTGGTCCTTGCAATTAACACTCAGAACATAGTTATAGTGTTGGCTTGGGCTAAAAAATAAAATCTTTCCTAAATTTCACATTTCTTTCTTTTGGTCTCCATTGAGTATAAATAGCTAGGAATAAGAGAATCATATCCATTGGCTCTAGTTTGCATATTTTATTCTTTTTTTTTTTTTTTTTTTGTCTTTTTGAGACAGGGTCTTGCTATGCATTTTAGGCAGGCCTCAAGCTCACTTTGTAGCCCAGGCTGGTCTCGAACTTGCAACAATCCTCCTGTCTCAGCCTCCCAAGTGCGAGGATTACAGGCAAGCAACAGCATACTTGGCACACATTTAACTCTTATAAATTAAATTTATTTTTTGAAACCTTTTTTTCAATGCACACAGATTCAAAACAAGCTGTAGTATCTTTCTTGAAAATATTGGAACATTTCAAAAAAATAGAGATCCTTTATATACAACAAAACCTTAATATTTAGTTAGTATGACTCAGTTTACCTTTACATAGCGGGTCTTAGGCAAAAGTCCAGATAAGCTTGGAGAACTCACTAAATTCTCTTCAATGCTCATGCAGTTTTTGGTCTGAAGATGCAAATTTCAGCTGAATTTCAGAAGACTGCACTGGATCCTCAAATTTCATAGACTTAAATGTCTTGCTAGTACTGAGACAGAAGAGAAATAGCATCACACAGTAGACTGACACACTGAAGGCAGAGGCTCTCTAACAGTAACATTTGTTTAATGAGCCCTGTCTGCTATCCACAACCTCACTGAATGCTGCAAGTCAGTGGTGTTGAACCACTGGCACGTGTGCTGCAGCAGGCATGAAGAGCCCTCTTGGCAAGCAAACCAAGTTGCCCTAATCAGCATTTTACAAATTAACAGCATGCATAAAACAGCAAAGATCACCTTAATGGTGCAAAAGCACATCAAACACAAACTTTTTTTCTCTCAATAAAAGACTCTGTTATTGTTTTTCTTAAGACAAAAGATGTTAAAGTATGTTTTTTTCTAAACAAAACCCTTGGTATTCAGATTTAATTGCACTGTTGGCACTTTGTAATAAATAAGTGAGTTTTGGGTTACAGTTTGCTGTTCAGAAGTGTTCGCAGTGTTCAGAAGTTTTGCCATCACTGCTACAAAGTGATACCAAAGAGGCAGAAAAAGAGAAGACAGACACTTCCATACCTTAGTATGGGTCTCAAAGATTTTCTGGCTTAATGTCAGAATAATCATACCACCTATGAATTTTAAATGAATAACATGTTAAGAAACTAGGACTGTGCCTGGCTCATGAATAAGCACTCAATAAATGGTAGCTACTTCAATTATTATTATAAGCAGTCAATGAATAGTAGATATTATTGCTTCTCTCCCTCATTAAGATATACTTCAAATAACCTTTGAAATCGTAAGTGAAGGTATTACCCATTTAACTATCCAACTCCTCTTATAAGTAATGTGAAGTATATGACAACACATTAATATACATTATAAAATGTTAGTTTATATTTATATTATTGTATTTCAATATTCTAATGTAGATATAATGTATTGCTATTATATCATAATGTGTTGATATTATATATCATTACATAATTATGCTTTAATTTAATACAAGTGATAAGTAATTAAACCCAGTTAGAATAATGACATCAAAAAAAGTCTGTATTTTTAGATCAGTGCTGTCCAACAGAGATATAATGTAGGTCAAAATGTGAACCACAGATTTTTAAATTTTTTGAAATTCATATTTGAAATTTTAAATTTTCTAGTCATAACACTAAAAGAAGTAAAAAGAATATGTAAAATTAATTTCAGTAATATATTTATCTAATAGCTAAATAGCACCACTGTATTAACATTATAGAATTATAGCCGGGCATGGTGGCTCACGCCTGTAATCCCAGCACTTGGAAGGCTGAGGCAGGAGGATTGCTGTGAGTTCAAGACCAGCCTGGGCTACAAAGTGAGCTCAAGGCCAGCACGAACTGCATAGTGAGATCCTGTCTCAAAAAAAATTATATATACTATTTTTGCAATCAATACAAAAAGTTATTAGTGATACAAATTTTGCTTTTTATAAGTCTTCAAAATCTAGAGCATTTTGCTCATTTCCATTCTGAGCAGCCACATTTCAAATCTTGACAGCCAATGTACCTACCAGTTACCAGCCTGGACAGCACATTCTAGTTGACTAATTATAACTGATAATGATAATAATGCAAGACATCATGTTTCTTTTTATTGCCCTGGTTGCCAGGAAACTCAAAGCTAGATTTGGTGTTCAATTATAGAAATTTTCTCATCTTGAGTTCCTTTAAACTTTATTTTTCTTCCTTCTAAATGGATTTGAATATCTTTGTTGTATATGTCCTTTTAGAAAAGTAACTTAGTATTAATAACTTCAATAATATTTGCCTTTCCTTTTTAATAATGGTAATTGATTCATTACTCACTATGTACCATGAGTTACAAGTATCATACAGTAAGAAATGTCAGAACATAGACTATAGCCAAAGTTGGATTCCAGAGACTCCATTCTTAATCATTTATGTCTTGTAATGCTCACAATGATCACAAGCACCACTCTGTTCCAGGAACTCACACACATTCCATCCTGTAGGCCTGAGAGGATGCCTGCGAGGTGGTTACATTACTCCCATTTCATGGGATAGGATCAAGGCTCAGAGGTTAGGTTGCTTAATAAAGGTACAGATAATACACCAGAGCTAGCATGTGAACTCAGCTTCTAAGCCCAGTCACTTCCTGTATACTATCTACTTCAGTTGTATATAAGTCAACCTCAATGATCAAATCCCCTTTGGAGAGCAACATACTACAAGGTTATTCATTTAATAACTGGGAACTCTGTTTAAGGGCCAGGTACTGCCCAGATGCTGGAGATTCTCAGACACAAAAGATAAAATCTTTGTCCTTTAGGAGCTTACAACAAAAGAAATGGAAAGTGAAGAAGGAAATCACATAGATTACTGGGAAATTCTTTATGGAATTTTCCATGGCAGATGCTAAACAAATAGTTGGAAATCAATCTAGCAAAATAAATTAAAAGAGTAGTGCAAAGCAGTGACAATCATGAGTGTGCCAACAAAGGTACTGACAGTCTCTGTCTGTGGTTCATCCTGTGGCTCATCCTGAAATGCGCCATGTGTTCTCCATAGTGTCTATGTGTGTTCCCATCAGCTGTCCAAAAGTCTAAATGCCACAAGAGGAGCAGTCTCATACTCTGTGTCTCATTATACATTGTCAGTCAATATCACAAGCAAAATTGCTACGGTGGCTTATGCAGTTCATCAGAGAGAATTCATAGGTGACTCCTTTAGTGTTTTGCAGGGGCTTACAAACACATTTCATCAAGTTTAACACAGCCTTTATCAAACGTATGATAAAAAACAGACATTTGTTTTGCTTGGTGTTATTTCAGTTTTCTCCAAAACATCTGATATTGGCACAGACTTTGATAGCAAATTAACTTCAAAGTTGTTGCCATGTGGAATCTTTCTGTCATTCACACAGCAAAGCACCTTTTAGCCCAGATTTATAATGCTCTCTTCCTATGACCACAAGGAAAAAGAGGCCATAAAGCAGACAAATGATTTACAAATGATCATTGATCAGGGCTCAGTGGAGTGTTCTTCACATAACAATTCTGTATTCTTAATTCCAGGATTAGATATAATTATATATGTAACAGTTCAAAGCTTAACCTTTAAATGACACCTCTTTTTCATGCAATAGTAGCCTAATTAATTCCCTTCAAAGCCAACAATTCAGAAAGTGTTCATTTCTATGAGACTTGGACATCTTCAAGTTACGGTCTTCTTGGAGGAGTTTGTGTTTTCTGAGTGGCTAGTATTAATGATTTTTCTATGCTGCCTCTTTTAATATCAAGAAATGGAAGCCATGACATTTGTTCTATTAATTTAGGAAAATGGGGCTTACCACAGAAAACAAGAAGGCTGAATTTCTCCAGGTTCACCCTCACTTCTTCCTTCCGGCTAGCTTCCTCTACCTGATTGTAGTCTTTTCTTTCTTAGGATTTCAGTGATGACCCTGACCCTTACTTGTGACATCTGGCCAGCTGCCACTCCATTCACCAATTCCCATTCCCAATAGAGATGAAGCCCAAATGGACTCTGAACATCCTCTATCCCTGGCCAACCTAGGAGTCTGCTTACCCGGCTTCAGATGCACAACTCTGGTCTAGTTAGTGATGACCTGCGAGTTGGGTGAAATGAGGATAATAACGTGGCACCCCGTGCCAGCCCCGTCAGTACAGATCTCAAAAGGGCAGTTTCCCGGAGAAGCGTTCTGGATGGCGCTTGAAGTGCTGTCTTATTCTGTACAAACAGAAGCGGTATCCTACCACATGTGAGCCAACTAAGAAATTAAGTGTTAAGAGATTAACCAATTAGGAATGAAGTGTCCTATCTGTTATAGATTTTTTAAAAGGTGAATAAAGAAAACACATTAAATTCAATTGGAACAAAATAAACACGTATTAAATTCTTTATGCTAAGTACTATGTAGGCATTTTATAATGCATGATTTTATCTAAGGTTTCCACTCTTGAACTTAGCCAAAAGGCTAAGAAGCAATGTCTAATCTTTCCAAAAGAGTGTCATTACACAATTTTCAATTGTAGCAAATGAGATTCAGAGACACTTCCTATATTACTATGTGATGCAAAGTCACAAAGAGAAATAGTGGAGCCAAGATTTGAAACTGTATTGCTGGACTCTAAAATTCTCTGCCCTAAAAAAATGAGATAAAACCAGGCATGGTGGCACATGCTTGTAATCTCAGCACTTGGAGGCTGAGACAGGAGGATCCTTGCAAATTTGAGACCAGCCTGAGCTACAAAATGAGCTCAAGGCCATCTTGACCTGTATAGTAAGACCATGTCTCAGAAAGATGAGAATAAAATGAGATAAAAGATATTAACATCATTCTAATCTAACATCATACTAATCTAAAAACTGACAAAATTGGGCTATTTCCCTAAACACCTCTAGGGATGACCAGACTTTGTCCAGATTAATGGGCCTGAACAATGCATTATCAAATCTTTAATTCACTGGGAACATCAGGCATAGACCAATTATCTCATCTACCCAGGAGGCTGAGGCAAGGAGATTGCAAATTTGAGGACAATCTTGACAATTTAGAGAGACTTGTTTCTAAATAAATAAATAAAATATAAATAAGAGATAAGGCTGTAACTCAGTGGTAGAACACCCCTGGGTTCAATGCCCAGTATTGAAAGAAAAAAAAATGCCAATGGGCTACAACAATGCGCCTAGTTATTAGTTGGAAAAGGACAAAGTTCTTAAAATAATTCATTTACATCTACCATGTAAACGATTCTTGCAGTACCAACAAAAGTCAGGTTAGTAACTAACTGCACTGGTTTCTCCCTGATGTCTGAAAAGTGAGCCTAAGGAAATAAGTGTTGGCCCAAATACATTTTGTTTCAAAATACTCTCACAAACTTACATTATAATACAAATATCAACTTAATTAATCATACTAGTAAAATAGTGTATTAAGCACTGTAGTAAATAAAGTATTTTAAAGACATATTTAGTCCTTAAGGATTTCAAAATAAATGAATCTAAAAAGAAAATGCAACAAAATGCCC